GCTTCTGGCCGGTGTATGTTTGTTGTTGTTCACTTTCACTTCGCAATTCTTGAACCAAAATAATTTTTGCCTCTAATTTTTTTTTAGGGAATCTGGGCACCTGATGATGCTGGAATTGTGTTTTTTGGTCTCCAAGACGAACCATTTAGATTAGGAAAAATAGCGTGCAATAACAGACCGTAGGTTGTCAACACTTGCTTTCACGCTGTTTTGCATTCTGGTTTATTACCCTCCCATTACTGCTTTCAGAGGCGCAATGTACTACTTTGAGCTGAGCTCAGCGAAAATTCATGTTATCGGTCACGAAAATATTGCTGCTGAAAATCCAACATTCTCTCCGGATGGGAGCACATTAGTATACTTCCAACGCCCTGCCGACGGACCTCACCAAGCTGTCGTGGAGTGTGTGAAAGTAGGGCTGCTTCATTTTTTTTGGTAAATATAGTGTATTGTTCTCAATACTGTTTGGAAGCGAACCTCTTATATTTACATCTGTAGTTTTTAGTTGGAGGCCGCGCGAGTATAATACTTCTCTACGACTCAATAAAATCTCTAAAAAATAAAAACACCTATTAGGTCATCTCATTCAAACATGTCCAGACATCTAGAGAAATGGTGGGAAAAGTAAAAGAGCTAGAGCATTCTGCTTGCTTTTGTTTTTAAGCTAGCACACCTAGCTACGGTATACCCTAATTAAGTTTGTAGTGCCGCAGAAGGAAACACTTAAAAACATAAAAAACTCATAGTGACCAAAATCGAGGCGGAATTTCCAAATGATTGGTGACACACGTAAAATTCGCAACTCGAATTCTCTGTGTGCTGGCTCAGCTTACGCGTGATACAGTGTTCTCGAAGTGCTACGTTGAAGATATGGTGTGAGAGCTCAAAGAAGGGAGAACGGATGCGAGTTGTGGTTGAGGACGCGCTCATATTGCCCACCTTGCCCAAGAAGAGCGGGTGGATGAAATGAGGTTTCAAATGGCGCATCACAGATGTTGAACCTTTGCGATGTTTGCCCACGAGACTTGCAGTCTAGCTGCACCTGTTACGCGAATTGTGCCCAAAAATTGGGGATGGTCCACAGAACATGTTTTTGGATATCTCATTTACTCCCAGATGCAGGAGTCCAGAATCGAATTGGTGTCTGTAGCAATGATCTTCTCTGCCAATAACGGCATTTAAGACTATCAAACTGGACCCTGCTCATAAACGAAATTTGTGTGTAATTGTACGCTGAGGCCCAAGTCAGAAGTGTCAACTTTGGATTAACGCGAATGAGGAACTACCCGAATTGGATCACGAAAAGTCACGTGGGTTCACGTGGATGATGATTACGGCGATGAATTTTTGAGGTGTGCCTCTTAAATGGCTCTGT